TTGCAATAGCAAACTCCCGTACATTTTTGAGAAATACCTGACAACAGTGATATGCCTAATTTTTCAGTTATATTTCTGTAAGGACATTTTCCCTCCAAAGTGTCAGCTATGCTCTCTTCTTTTCTTTATTTTTGTAGCTTAATGTCTTATCTACAAAATAAAATGATTACTTAAGATTTGTTCAAATAGTTATCAAAGCACTACTAGATACGTAAGAGTGTGCTAGCTACTGTTAGAGATAGAAAATAGGTAGACGCTGTTAGCTCTCTGTGATACAAACACCACAATGATGGGTATTGGGGAACTGATACTATCTGAGCACCTCCTGTGTGCCCAATGCATACTTAACCTCTTCTAAACCTCCCAGAATCTTAAGAAAATAATTTCATTGCCACTTTCCAGATGAGCAAACTAAGGGTCACAGAAGGTGAATGCTTTGCAGACATTCTCATAGTTATTGAAATGGTAGAAAAAGTGCTGAGGCCAGGTGCGGTGGCTCATGTCTGTAATCCCAGCACTTTGGGAGGCCAAGGTGGGTGGATTACCTGAGGTCAGGAGTTCGAGACCAGCCTGGCCAACATGGTGAAACCCCATCTCTACTAAAAATACAAAAATTAGCTGGGCGTGGTGGCGGATGCCTGTAATCCCAGCTACTTGGGAGGCTGAGACAGGAAAATCACTTGAACCAGGAGGCGGAGGTTGCAGTGAGCCGAGATCGCGTCACTACACTCCAGCCTGGGCAACAAGAGCGAAACTGTCTCAAAAAACAAACAAACAAACAAACAAACAACAAAAAAAAAGTTCTAGGAACTTAGACTTGCCTTCCCTTAGATCCAACACTTGGAATTGCCAAGCCTTTGATTATTTTTGCTGTCCTCACTGATAGGACCTTGGATCCCTTTCCCCATGAGTCAAGGATCATCTGGGGGAGAAAGCTGATATCAGTAATGACTTGAGAGATGCTGTTAGCCCCCAGGAGTCGTCAGTGGGGGAGTTCACAGGAGAAGGAATTGCAAGCTATCAGGATCTTCTCAGTGGAATCACAGTAACCGAGTTGTTTAATGGCTTGTGAGGTAACGCAGAAGAGGGTAAACACAGGGGCCCTGGGGCCAGGCAGGTTCTCATCCGGGCTTCTCTACTTACTGACTGCTTACTCAGCCTTGGGCAAAAGGCCTCACCTCTCTCTACTTCCAGTTTTTCATCCATAAAATTGGAATATCGATAGTGTCTTCCTTACTGAGTGGTTGGGCATATTATGTTTAAAGTGCTTAGATTTCAGGCTGGAATAGGTAAGTGCTGAGCAATTAGTAACCATCATCATCACAGAAATCTCTTTTCTCCCCAGGGTAGAGTGGGAGGGGAGCCTTTTAATGTCCATCTTTTTTGAAGCCATATCATCTTACAGTAACCATGGCAACCAATCCCCCCAGGTGTTTCCATGACATTTTTTTTGAGTAAAAACTTGAAAATCTTTTTTGGGAATCAAAGATCCCTAATTTTTCTGGAACGATGTGGTTTGTCTGTGTCCCCACCCAAATCTCATCCTGAATTGTAGCTCCTGTAATCCCCATGTGCCACGGGAGGGACCCAGTGGGCAGTAACTGAATCATGGGGTGGGGTTTTCCTGTGCTGTTCTCATGAAAGTGAGTAAGTCTCATGAGAGCTGATGGTTTTTAAAGGGCAGTTCCCCTGCACATGTTCTCCTGCCTGCCCCCATTTAAGACTTTGCTTTGAACTGTCGGTGAAACCAAAGGTTACTGTGATTAAGCCCATCAAACTTAACTGCCTTGTTTGCTTTCAATCATTTACTTCTGGTTGATCTTAAAAACTCCCACTAGCAAATCACGTGGCCAAACAATATGTGACTCAACTCCCACTAGCTTCCTGGGGGAAAAACATCTCTGACTGTGTGTCACTATAGTAACAGGTGCTTAGAGTTGGTTTTCAGGAACTAGTATTACCAGAAACGGATCCCAGTCCAGACCCCAGGAGAAGGTTCTTGGATCTCACGCAAGACAGAATTCAGGGTGAGTCCACAGAGCAAAGTAAAAGCAAGTTTATTAAGAAAGTAAAGGAATAAAAGAATGGCTACTTCATAGGCAGAGCAGCCCCTGAGAGCTGTTGACTGGTTATTTTTGTGGTTATTCTTTGATCATATGCTTCACAAAGGGTGGATTATTGATGAGTTTTCTGGGAAAGGGGTGGGGGATTCCTGGAACTGACGGTTCCTCTTCTTTTTAGATCATATAGGGTAATTTATGGACATTGTCATGGCGTTTTAAACTGTCATGGCACTGGTGAAAGGGTCTTTTAGCATGCTCATGCATTATGGTTGGTGTATAATAAGCAGTGAGAATGGCCAGAGGCCACTTTGAGTTGCCATCTTGGATTTGGCAGGTTTTGGCTGGTTTCTTTACTACATCTTTTTTTTACCAGCAGGGTCTTTCTGACTTGTATCTTTTGACCTCTTGTCTCATCCTGTTGACTAAGAACGTCTAACATCCTGGGAATGCAGCCCAGTACATTTCAGCCTTATTTTACCCAGTCCGTATTCAAGATGGAGTCACTCTGGTTCTAACACCTCTGACGCTAAGGAGCAGCTCTTGTTCGGTTCAAGCCAGTTCAGATCACTAACCCTCCAACTGGGTCTGCGAGGGTGCCCCAACAGTGACTTTTGACATCAGAAGACCAAAAACTCCACCCTCAGGTTAAGCCACCATTTTCTGCACGTGTGTCCTGTGAAGAACCATGTAGCTCACTTATGCTTGCACAGAAACCTGATTCCCTCACCTTTCCTACCACACAATCAAGTTTCCTCAGACTTTAGACCACCTTGCTTCCTATCTCACAAGTACCCCCAAGCCCTGTATTCAGGGAGCAGGACTTGAGATTTGTTCTTCTGCCTCCTAGCACAGCAGCCTTGTGAATAAAATCTTCACTCTTTTGCAAAACCTGTCACCTCAGTGATTGGCTTGCGGCATGTGGGCAGAATGAACCTGGCTCGATAACATCAGAGGCTGTAGGATGTACTATTTTTTTTCCCCCTCAGGTTTTTGCCAAGGCTGAGCCTGGCAGAAATAATTTTCAAAGGGTTGGGATAGTTTGTGTATTAGCTGACTCATTGAAGAGTGCCTTTTCCATGCATATTCCAAAGAATGTAAAGTTGTAAAAATAAAAACCCCCATTGGAACAGGTGTCATTTTCCACCAAGGTGGGCTCGATCACACACAGCTTTCTGTCCTTTCTTGTGACATAGTTTACTGTCATTTGCCTGATGTTTTACTTAACTTTGTTATGTGCATCTATCTCATCTTTTCAACCACATTTCAGATTCCTGAGGGGTGAGTCCTTGCTGAACGTCTTTGAAGTCTTTGCAGTTCTAAGTACTCCTGACACATAGTTATCTCAGTTACATTTACTGAAAAAAAAAAAAGATTCTAAGAATGGGTACATCTATCCTTTTGGGGAATAAATATGGTTAAAATGATAGAGGCTTTACTACAAAAATCAAAAATAAAACCTTAGGATATTTCTGGAAGCTGGTGTTTTCCTTAATTAACATAATGGATTCAGTAAATAGGGAGGAAACTATGTTTGAAAAAGGAACAGATTACCTACAGGGCTGAAATCCTGTCACACAGCACATTTGTAGATCTCGTGTATTTTTCATTTTAAACAGGGATTATTAATTAAGCCCCAAAGGCTTTCTCTGCTCACAGTGCATTCTGAAAAGCACCAATCTCTTTCTAAACAAAAGAGACTCCAACTACTTTGTAATCAGAAGACTGGCTAATGGGCTGGTTGAATGCTACTGAGTTGCTTAGTTAAAGTTCCACTGAAAACCTGAAATACCAATCCTCTCCTATTCATTTAGTCGTTCATTTATTCTTCATTCCAAAGAGAATTATTGAGTACTTATGTGTAAGACATAGCTTGTCTTAACACCCTATGATAGTATTGAGCGTCAACTTGATGGGATTGAAGGATGCAAAGTATTGTTGCTGGGTGCATCTGCAAGGGTGCTGCCACAGGAGATGAACATCTGAGTCAGTGGACTGAGAAAGGAAGGCCTACCTTCAATCTGGGTAGACACAATCTAATCAGCTGCCAGCATGGCCAGAATAAAAGTGGGCAGAGGAATGTGGACAGACTAGACTGGCTAGGTCTTCCGGTCTCCATCTTTCTCCCCTGCTGGATGCTTCCTGCTTTTTAACATTGGACTCCAGATTCTTCAGCTTTGGGACTCTTGGACCTTCGACCACAGACTGAAGGCTGCGCTGTCGGCTTCCCTACTTTTGAGGTTTTGGGACTCGAACTGGGTACCTTGTTACTCAGCTTGCAGAAGGGTCCTTACCTTGTGATTGTGTGAGTCAGTACTCCTGAATAAACTGTCCTTTATATATACACCTATTCTATTAGTTCTATCCCTCTAGGGAACCCTGACTAACACACACAGACAATATCACCAAGCTGACAAAAATCAGACAATAGATGGTCAAAGCCAAAGCACACCAGGGCTGTCTATCCTGGGGATACAAGGGTTAGTCAGTGGACAAATCCTTCCTCCAAACTCAGTTCCAATGCTACCTCCTCTATGAATCTATCCATTTCCCCTTGCATTCCCAGAGTTTTTACCCAATACCTCCTTTTTCACATATTTCCTTTTGTGTTATATTATTGTTACCTTGTATGCAGTGACAGCCCGTGGTAAGAGCATGAATCTTAGAGGCAGGTTGAGATTCGCATCCTTGCTTTAACCCTTACTTGCTCTGTATCCTTGAACACATTAATTAACCTCTCTGACCTCTTTCTTCACCCATGAAATAAGGATAATAGCAGTTTGCCCCAAAATACAATATATGTGATGTATTTCATGCACATAGAGATAATAGCAATTATAACCAACACATACAGCACTAACTACATTTTTCTAAGTACTTTATGTATATTAACCCATTTGATTTTCACAATAATTCTTTTAATACTTTGGTTACTTCAGATTCACAGATGAGCAACTGAGATGCAGACAGATTGAGGAAATCCCTCAAAGTCACACCATGAGTTAAATGGTGGATCTGAAGTTTGATTGGAGGCCTACTGCGTGCTGTGTTTATTATCTTACCACTCTGCGCTACTGATTTTTCTAGAAGAACATGGTAAGCATTAATAAGCTGTAACTATGACTATTCCTGTTATAAACACAATTTTAATTATTTTTTTTTCATTTTCAAGCTTTAATATAGCATTTTTAAAAACTTTTATTTTAAATTGAAGGGTACAAGTGCAGGCTTGTTACATAGGTAAACTTGTGTCATGGGGGTTTGTTGTACAGATTATTTCATCACCTAAGCATTAAGTCTAGTACTCATTAGTTATTTTTCCTGATCCTCTCCCTCCTCCCACCCTCCACCCTCTGACAGACCCAAGGGTATGTTGTTACCTTCAGTGTGTCCATGTGTTCTCATCATTTAGCTCCCATTTATAAGTGAGAATGTGTAGTATTTGGTTTTTTGTTCCTGTGTTAGTTTGCTAAGGATAATGGTCTCCAGCTTCATCCATGTCCCTGCAAAGGACATGAACTTATTCTTTTTTATGGCTGCATACTACTCTGTTAATAACATCTTGAAACAAAAATAATGTCATAATCACTTATATGCCTCTCACTCCTGTGCTTTGCATATAGTAGGTCCACAATGTTTGTTTGTGGACTTGAACTGAAATGACTGCCATCACAAAAAAGCAAAAACGAACTAACAAAAATCTAAGAAATATACTGTTCAATTTGGGTTGTGTCCATTTTTGTGGATAATTTTTGTTCGGTGACTCTGGAGCCTTATCTAGAATGCAAATTCTTGAATACTTTAGACTATCATCCTCCATTTGAATCATTTCACAGCTCACTGGCCTCCAGTTCTCTTCTTTCTCTCTCAACGCATCACCGCAAGTCATTTTTAGAAAATAATTCTCACCCTCAATTCCAGATTTGCAACTTTTATTTATTTACAGGCTTGCAAATAGTCACCTGCCCGGTGTTCCTGGGGAACAGGCATCTATGCTAAAAAGTACAAAGAATACAGATATCCTACGGCTTCTGAACTTGGAAGTGTAAAGATAAGAGGAATGAGGGTGGACTTACCAACCTTTTCAATTGGTTGGATGACTTTTTACCTATCAGAGATTATAGCCTAGAAATTGATAACAGAATTTACAAGTCTGGGTATGACATGAAGACAGGTTATTTTCATTTTGTTATTCAAGCTTTATTGTTTGTTTTGAAATGAAGGCTCACTCTGTCATCCAGGCTGGAGTGCAGCGGCACGATCTCGGCTCACTGCAACCTCTGCCTCCCGGGCTTAAGAGATTCTCCTGCCTCAGCTTCCTGAGTAGCTGGGACTGCAGGCGTGTGCCACCACATCTGGGTAATTTTTGTATTTTTAGTCGAGATGAGGTTTCACTATGTTGGCCAGGCTGGTCTCGAACTCCTGACCTCAGGTGACCCGCCCACTTCGGCCTCCCAAAGTGCTGGGATTACAGGCACGAGCCACTCGCCCAGCCTATTTTGTTATTCAAATTAAATACATATTTTCTTACAGGTCTTAATTCTCCAGCAGATGTTTGTCTAAGCACTCGCTATGAGAAGACAGGGACCTGAGTCAGTCCAGAAGCTATTGTTGAGGTCAGTGGATTCTCAGATTAATCCATCAATGAGAAAAATTGTGTGTACTACAAAATGGACCATTGGGTATTGTGTTGGGAAAAAAAATAAAAAAACAAGAAAACAGTGGACCAAATGTTTGTTTGTTTTTCCCTTTCTTGCTTCAAGCTGTTGTTTTGATGCCAGTCATTCAGCCTGATAAGGCCTTGATAAAAATAAGTTGCATGTTGAAAAATATAAGCAAGAAAGCATCACATATTTGAGTTCAATGGACATTTCCTTAACTAGAAATTTATAGGTAATGAACTTCATCCCCTTCTCCAAAGTAGAAATTGCTTTTGGCCATCAGTTATTTTTTTCCCCCATTCGACCCATCTGAGTATTTGCTCACTCCCAGACATTATGATGGGGACTGTGGCTACAGAGGTGAACAACCGAGTTTCTGTTTTAGAAGACATCACCACTTAGGTAGAAAAAGGCACCTAAGCAGTAAAGGTTTTGTGTGCGGGATGAGGGGAAGTCAAATTCAAGGAGCTGAATTTAGGGTGGACCATGAAGCTTCTCTGGGCAGGTTTCCTCAGTAAGGGTCCTCTGAGATGGGTCTTGGAGGATGTGTAGGAGATTTCCCTCAACTACCTGAAGAGCTTTCCCAAACAGCCTCTGCTCAACCATATCTCCTGAGGAGACCTTCCCTGCTTCTGCAGTAGTTAGCAATGTCAGAACAGTCAACAACCTCCATTTTCAAAATAAACATCTTTCATTTTCATTTTTTTTTTTTTTAAGAAATAGAGTCTAGCTCTGTTGCCCAGGATGGAGTGCAGTGACACAATCATAGCTCACGTAGCCTCAAACTCCTGTGCTCAGGAGATCCTCCCACCTTGACCTCCCAAGTAGCTGGGGCTACAAACATGTTCCACGAAAGCCAGCTAATTAAAAAAAATTTTTTTTTTTAGAGATGGGGTCTGGCTATGTTGCCCAGGCTGCTTTCAAACTCCTGGTCTCAAGTGGTCCTCCTACCTCAGCCTTCCAAAGTGCTGGGATTATAGGAATAAACCACCATGCCTGGTCTGTCTAATCCTCTTTTCTATCCATCTTCTTTTTCCTCTTGATGAAAGATAAAGTATTCGTCACTGAGCAGACGTTACATCTGAAAACCCACAGGGTAAAGTTGCCAGGGGCAAACAGCTTGGTGGTGTTTAGGATACCAGGATTTGTTACAGTGGAGTGTCCTATAAATATTTCTTCCTTTGAGCTTCAGGCCCACTGGAGTTTGCAAATCATCAGATTCCAAAAGGTAACATGAAATTTGTTCCTAAACAGGTAAGAATCAAGTTATATGGAAAGATACAATGGTTTCCACTTCCAAAGTTTCGTCTCCTGCAGTGGTCTGGCACAATACTCAAATGACTATCATTAGATTATTAAGAACTGTATTCATCAGCTAGGGGCTGCCTTCACGAAGTATCACAGACTGGGAGGCTGAAACAACACAAATTTGTTTTCTCACAGTTCTAGAGGCTGTAAGTCTGAGGTCAAGCTGTCAGCAATGTTAATTTTTTCTGAGTTATTTATCCTGGACTTACAGATGCCTGTCTTTCCCTCTGATTTCACATGGCCTTTCTTCTGGGTGTGTCTGTGTTCCAATTTCTCCTCCTTACAAGGACGTTAATCACATTGTATTGGGACCTACATTAATGATCCCATTTAACCTTAATTATCTCTTTAAAGACTCTATCTCCTAATATAGTCACATTCTGAGATACTAGGGGTGAGAACTTCAACATATACTTTTGGGGGAGACACAATTTAGCTCATAACAAGGACATTGTCGCTATTGTTTATTCTTTGGTGAATTGCAAATATCATCTTTATATGCTGATACAACACCTGCAAACTATCTTAATTCATAAATAACTGAGCACATTCAATTAGTTATCAAGTCATTTTAACTATAACTCCAACATACTTTTGAAATAGGTTCTGTCATGGTTTGAGTTATATCCCCCCACAAATTCCTATGTGGAATTCCTAACCTCCAGCCATCACAGTGTGACCTTATTTGGAAATAGAGCCTTTGCAGATATAATTAGTTAAGAAGAAGTGATGCTGGAGTAGAGAGGGCCTGTAATCCAATATGACTGGTATCCTTATAGAAAGGGGAAATTTGGACATAGGGATAGGCACGCAAAGAAGGAAGACAATGTGAAGACACCCAGGAAAACACCATGTGAAGAGGAAGGCAGAGATCAGGGTGATGAAGCAGAAGACAAGGGATGCCAGCAAATCACAGATTGCTGTGAGAGAAGGCATGCAACACATTTTCCCTTACAGCCCTCAGAAAAATCCAACTCTGTTGGCTTGCACTTCTAGCCTGACAATACATTTCTGTTATGTTAGCCACCCAGTTTGTGGTATTTTGTTATGGTAGCCCTATCAAACTAATATAGGTTTGCTTCTCTATATGCCTATCATTACTACTAAAATTGAGATCTTTGTTATTTCTCACCTGGTCTATTGCTATCAACCTTTGACACCATCGCCATTGCAAAACCTTCCCCTGCCATCTATCCTCTGCCCAGCTGCCTAGTGATCTTTCTAAAATTTGGTTGGGTTTGGTAGCTCATGCCTGTAATCCCAGCACTTTGGGAGGCTGAGGCGGGCAGATAACTTGAGGCTGGGAGTTTGAGACCAGCCTGATCAGCATAGCAAAACCCTGCCTCTACTAAAAACACAAAAATTAGGCCTGGTGGCATGCACCTGTAATTCCAGCTACTCGGGAGGCTGAGGCAGGAGAATCACTTGAACCTTGGAGGCAGAGGTTGCAGTGAGTGATCACACCACTGCACTCCAACCTGGGCAACAGAGTGAGACTCTTGTCTCAAAAAATAAATAAATAAATAAAATAAAATTCGAGTGTCCCCTTGTAGGAATGTTCACCACTAGTCTCAGGATATATTCCAAGATCGTCAGCCCAACAGACAAGACTCTTCATTAATAAAATAACTTCTCTTCCCTGAACATTATTTATCCAATGTTTAGATCTTCGAAGTTTCTTCTTAGTGTGCAGAATTCATTTGGGCATGAAATGAAAAGAATGACCCACTCCAAGGAAGCTATCAGTCAGAAGGTTTTATGACTATCTTCAAGGTTAGAGATCACCAGGGTCCCAGAGCAGAATTCTGTCTCCACTTAGAGTTTGTGTCTATAAAACCCAATTGTTTTGAGCTCTTGGCCAATGTATCTGACAAGCCAGCCCTTGACAGCTTTTTGGTCATCCATCCAGGGGGGCTCCACTGATGAAATTCTACCAAGGATGTAGCTTAACTCCAATGTTTTATGACTGAATTTCTCTCTCTCTCTCTCTCTTTCTTTGTCTTGCTGGTTATGCTAAGCACAAATAATCAGCTTCATTATGCTAGGTTAGAAGGATGCTCTTCCACAGAAAATTACCCACATCAAATAAAAAGCTATTCCATATGGCAGTCCCTTTCATCACAGGACCAGTTAAACCTTGACCACACAGTTTGCATCTGTCTTATTGGCTTGGATGTTTGCCAGTATGTTGGTGTTCTGTGTCTTCGGTGACAAATTCAACCTAGGAAATTCTTTGCAGGGCTTCGTTTATGCTTAGATTTTTCATAGTTCTTTTTGTTTTGTCCTTGGGGCAAACTGTAAACCTCGTAGACACTTCTCCTGGAAATCATTCAATAGGCACCAAATATTTATCAAACATCTACAATATACCAAGCACTCTATAGAACTCTAGGACTGCTGTGATTCTATAAAAGATGAGGCTTTTGACTCATTATTGAGTGGGTTTGTGTTTCAGTGCATTTGTCTAGCTGTGGGTATGAGTTATTCTGGAATAATACCCTGTTTGCCTCTCCTTACAGCTAGGAGAATAAAAACTGTTGTCTGTTGCCAGTTCACTTTTTGCCTTATTTCCTGCTGTGTCTCTACTCATCTTTTTCTCTCAAGTTCTCTCTCTCTCTCCAGCCACAATGTCATTCGTGTACATTCCAGCCACATTGTCATAGGTATATCCTCTGCTCTTCCCTCTCTATGCCTCTACTTCCCTCTACTCTTTCCTGGAATGCCCTTCCCATCTTTTATCATTCAGCTCAAGTCACATGTCTTCCATAAGGCTTTGTTTTTTTCTTTTTTAAATCTTTCACCTCCCAGTTAGAATTGCTCGTTCCCTACAGTTCTTTTGAGCTTTAATTTTTGTTTAAAATGCTGTTGCATTTTAATCTTCTTTTGTACTGCAGAAACCTGTTTACACTTCCGTCTCTAACAGAGAGGTTGAAGAGTCAAGTCAGAAAGTCAAATCTTGGCTCAACCATTCATCTAGCTGTATAACCTTGGGTAAACGCCTTAGTTTCTCTTTCCTCTTTTATAAAAGGCAGGATAAGGATGGCATTTGCCTTTGAGCAAATATTTTATTTCTCTTTCACATGTGACTCTGGCTGATGAGTTTGTACATAAGCAACATGTGACATTTTTAGGCTCAGCATTTAATTGATGAAGTCATATGCTCTCCAGAGCTCCCTTTCCCCTCTTACAATGCCAGCCAACAATGTTTCAGACACCATCTAGGAATGTTCCTGATAAAACATTCCAGAATATTCTGCTAGCCTGGTCCCAGAGTAGCAAACTCTCCAGCTGACTGTAGTAGACAAGCAGCATGAGCGAGAAATAAACCTCTCCTATTTTAAGCCTCCAGGACTTGGGGGTTGTCTGTTACTGCAGCATAGCCTAGACTGTCCTGACTAATGCAGAGTTATTGTGAAAATTAAGTATGATAATGTAAATAGAATGCTTGGTGATACTTGCAGCTAAGAAGTGTTTAATTACTGTCAATACCATTCATGAAGCACACCACGAGGTGGGGATGATGTCAATTCTGACTTACTTACGTACAGCCATTCAATTTCAGTATTATTTTTTGATGTGGTCTGAAAGATGCCCTAAGTGAAGAAGCGTTATTAAGTTAGCTATGTGGCCTGTGCTTCCTCTTAACGTATTGTTCTGTCTGAAATTAAGCCCTATAGCCTGTCTTGAACTTATTTACTTGGAACAATCAATAGAAGTACTTTATTAAGTGGTCTTGGTCTGAAAAGAATGTCAAG